GAAAAATGAGCCAGAAGCTGCTCAGAGGATTCATGAGAGAGAGTCTCATTTTTCCGTTATCAGATCAAGATCTGGTCCCAGCAGACCATCGGTGACCGTGGTTACACTTCCTGGTTTCTTGTCTCCATCTAGTGGCCGTTCTGACTAACTGCTCTGTTGCCGCTTTCAGGTTCGGTCGTATCGGCCGTCTGGTGACTCGAGCTGCCTTCACCTCCAAGAAGGTGGAGATCGTGGCCATCAACGACCCGTTCATCGACCTCGAGTACATGGTGAGCCTGCAGCAGAACCACAGATTCAGAGCCTCTAAACCAGGGGTGTCCAATCCTGGTCCTCGAGAGCCACAATCCTGCATGTTTTAGATGTTTCTCTTCTTCCAACACACTCAGGATGGTTATCAGGCTTCTGCAGAGCTTGATGATGAGCTGATCATTTGAATCAGGTGTGTTGGAAGAAGGAAACATCTAGAACATGGTGGACTGTGGCCCTCGAGGACCAGGATTCGACACCCCTGCTCTAAAGTCTGGAGTCACAACGTGATCCATCAAGCACCACCTTGTGGCTTCACTTCTTACTCAGAACTCTTAAAGTCTTGATTCGGCAGAAGGTTCCACAGTTCAGACTGAGAACAGGAGAACCGTGTTTTAACTGCAGCGCTGTGGAACAAACAGAACAGTCGGTTCAGAACCCGCCTGAAGCCATCAGGTGTTTGAATTCGACTTTATATAGTTTCTGATCTTAATTGAAGACGTTTTCTCGGCTCTTTGTAATATTTTATTCCATTTAAATGTTCTTGTGTTTTCTGATGTTCTTTCTGTCGTCACAGCGTTTGTTTAGTTTTTCTCTTTTCTTGGCTTTTTTGTGTTTTATTGCCTTTTCTAATGTTTCCATCTTTAGTTTTCTTTCTCTAATTTACTGTTTTTGGTCTTTATTTGGGGTTTTCTTGGCTTTTTTTTTTTTACTGTAATTTTCATTTTTTTCTCCAAACCTATAACTGTCTAATTTCAGAAGTTTTAGTTTTTCTAATGCTTTGTTCCCTTTCTTCAAATGTTTCTTGATCTTTTCCGACGTGTTCGTGTCTTTTTTTTAGTGTTTGTTTGCTCTGTTGTTTTTTGTTTTTTTTTTGCCTTTTCTGTGGTTTTCTTTCTAATCTTTGAATTTTTTTTTCCCTCCTCTTTTTAATGTTTTATCATTTTCAGTTTTTTCTACCATTTTCAGGTTTTCTATACATTATTTTTTGGGGGGTTTGTTTTTGTAACTCCAATTTTAAAAGAGGCTTTTCTAATATTTATACCATCTTCTCGTCTCTTGTTCAGGTTTACATGTTCAAGTACGACTCGACTCACGGACGCTTCAAGGGCGAAGTGAAGATCGAAGGCGACAAACTGGTGATCGACGGACACAAAATCACCGTTTTCCACGAGTGCGTTCACCCGCTGGGTTTTATTTAAACCGTCAGATCCACATACACACACATCGGTAAAACCACATTCTAACCTTTTTTTATTCTGTGTTTCTCCACCAGGAGGGACCCGGCCAACATTAAATGGGGTGAAGCTGGAGCTCAGTATGTGGTCGAGTCCACCGGAGTCTTCACCACCATCGAGAAGGCCTCAGTATGTTCACCATGTACTGAATGTAAAACAAATGTTCAGTTTAATGGCTTCACCAGCAGGGAGGAGGCTTCTGTACCTGCTGGTTGTTTTAATAAATGTAGAAATGTTCAGTTTGTGACTGAGAACAGTGATTTACCGACTTGTACCACCTCAGGCTCACCTGAAGGGCGGCGCCAAGCGGGTCATCATCTCTGCCCCCAGCGCTGACGCCCCCATGTTCGTGATGGGCGTCAACCACGAGAAGTACAGCAACTCGCTGAAGGTGGTCAGGTGAGAACAACACGCCTCCGATCGTTGCGTTTCTGAAACAGGATGTGAAAGATGAGAAACCAAACAAAGAACCGGAACTGACCGAAGCGCTGAAACAGTTTTCTGACGGGCAGCTTCAAAATATGAGTAAAAGAACTTCATCAGTGAATGTAGGAGACACAACATGACTGTGAAATCTATTTCTGAAATATCCAGACGAACAAAGGCCTTCAACTTGTTGGTCTTGAGATTTTTTTCTTGTACCAACTGATGCACTGCAGGAAAAAATGCAAATTATATTTTAAGAGCCTTAAATTAAAAAGGATTCAGTCGCTGGTCTTGGATTGATCAGACACAAGTTTCTGCTTTTATCAAATTATTTTAGACTAAGACTCGATATTTAACATGTCGGCGTCTCCAAACACAATCCAAGAAGGAGAACCGACGCCAAAGAACACAAAGCGACCTTCAGTGTTATTTATAGAGTCCACTGCAGGTTTACCAGCCGTTTCAGTAGAACTTAAACCCGGTCTCTGAGTTCTGCTGCTCTTCCTGCAGTAATGAAACCTGTAAATAATCTGTTTTGTCTTTGGGAACACGTGTCTTATTGGATGGGAGCTCCTTCCTAAAGTTGGGAACCGCAGAACGTTCCTGTACGAGTTGTAAAAAAAAATGAAAATGTGCTCCTCTTTGCAGAAGTGGTTCTATAAAGAACCAAACGCTAAACGGTTCTTCCACAGTACCACTGAGGAACTGGTTCCTGTGCAGCATCTGTATATAATTTATGAATAAGTTTCCTCTCAATTATTCAACCTTTATTTCAACTCAAAATAAAAACTTGGACAACAAGAACAAAACATCAAAAGGCAAAGTTGGTCACGTGAACTGAAACCCGAAACGAGCTGCAAGTAAAACGAGATGAAAACGAGTCGAGCTTCAGATGTTCAGCAGCCGCAAAGTGAAGAAAACTCAAAGTTGAATAAAACAGAATAAATATCCCGTTAAACAGCTGAGGCTCACAGATATAAAACGTCAGCACGAGAAACATCACCTCAATGTTTTACTACAAATTCATTCCTGTTAGAAGAAACCAGTTTTTGTCTTTAGTCACATTTTAAATGTCACATTCTCACCTTTGTGTCTCGTGCTGCTCATCGTAGACTGATTGTCGTTTTGGTTTCATCTCATTCAGCTCAGTTTGAACTCTTTCACTGGAGGGATTTCTGGTGTTTACATTTCTCTAGAATTCCCTAAAAGCAGGAAGCCTCAGTTAAAACAAGTGTCAGACAGAATGCTTTATACGTCTCTGAGGGGAAGAACCGTTAAGAATTCTAGTTCCAGGTTCCCAGTTCAGCAACAAACAAAACAAACTCGGTGCAGAATTGGCGCGAGATGACATCTGCAAAATGTATAAGTACAATAAATAAAATGGCAGCATCAGGGTAAAATAAAAACGTCCATGTTGGATGATGAGGCCGTCCTCCACCGTCACCTCCACCGACTCCTAGATCCTCTGTAGAGGACGTAAACCTGCAGTCTGGTTCTCTGCACCAACTGTCCCAAATAGGAAACGTTTCTGTGAAACTGAGGTTTGTGAAATCCAACCTGCTGTCTGCTCCTCCCCAGTAACGCCTCGTGCACCACCAACTGCCTGGCTCCTCTCGCAAAGGTCATCAACGACAACTTTGGCATCGTCGAGGGTCTGATGGTGAGCATCACTTCCATTCACCGACCAGAGTTTACCAGAGACGGGTTTGAGGTCGTTTAACCGTGTGTGTGTTTGTCAGAGCACCGTTCACGCCATCACGGCCACCCAGAAGACGGTGGACGGACCGTCCGGGAAGCTGTGGAGGGACGGCCGCGGTGCCAGCCAGAACATCATCCCTGCCTCCACCGGCGCCGCCAAGGCCGTGGGGAAGGTCATCCCCGAGCTCAACGGGTCGGTGCCACCAACGCTCTTTAACACCAGCTGGTTCTGCTGTTTCTGAGGAGATGCAGTACTCAGGTTCTGATCCATGTTTTGCAGAAAGCTGACCGGCATGGCCTTCCGGGTTCCCACCCCCAACGTGTCCGTGGTTGACCTGACCGTCCGTCTGCAGAAACCTGTGAGTCGCCACACGTCTAATTAAACTTGTCTGAAGATCCTCAGTCCTCCAGGTCAC